AACGTGACAACGTCATAAGAAAATACTGATGGAATGGTTTCATTTTTCAAAAGAAAGTTTTAATTTTATTCGTTTGATAGATATTTTGTATGGATATAGAGAAGGAGGTAAATGGAAATGTATTATTGTATAGCAGCTGTCCACGCGAACGCATCGCTCACTCAAGTAGGAGAGAGACAGATGTCGAACGCTGCCGAACGCGGAGGTCGATTGTGCCTCTTTGTCACTCGTTTAGCGCTCTCGCTTGCACTTCAAGCCTTAAATGGAACGCCTCAGAGCGAGGTAACGGCGCATGAGTCATGTTTTTTCGTGCGTTATATGTCAAAAACTTAATGGGTCAGTCAATCTGCGGATTGAAAACCTCCGGTTAGTAGACTATTTTCAAAAGTTTTTTCCTACATATCGACGTAAGTATTGACAACGGTGAATGTTCTTTCAAAAGTCTGTCTTGTAATTTATACGTATACGATAGTGCCGTTTAATTATGAAATATAATTAACTAATTTTTTTTGACGTCCGTCGCCTTTCAATTTGATGAGGGGAAAGAGATTGGACAAAGAGGAGCAGAGGTTCATTAACTACATGCTAATTTGGCTTTTCCGGCATTCGGGACGCATTTAGTCCTCACTACTAATTTACCTCCTTTCTCCGGAACGATCACCATGCAAGTTCGGTGACATTTCCACCGGAAAATGCAGTGCCGCGAAATCGGTGGCAAAACGAGCGCCGCTGCACCGTTTTTGTAGTCGTCCATCGTTGTCGTCGTTACTGCAGTGCCAGACGACATCCACTCAACCACCTGCTAAATAGAGCGGAATAATCTCTGACTTTTGTTACTATATATCTCTATTATTATACCAGTATGTAGCAGTAGTGGGTAGGTATGCCGGCGACTAAAAACCCATTTTTCCATTTTGCTTTTCAAATAGGGTCGTTACAACACGACTAGAGATAATACCTACCAGTGAAACAGCTTGATTTCAATGCGACACGTTTTATTTCGAACGAGTCGAGCAATTTTATCGACATCATAAGAGATGCAGACAGTTTCGCAGACGTAATAACGTTTATATTCACTAAGAAAATAGGTTGGAAGAAAACTGCGTTACTGTTAGTACATTATAAATTTAACTATTAAATGCATTTAATAACATACATCAAGGAACTGGAATGTAGCATTATAAAACTCAAAAGAAACGAAACGAAAGCACAACCGATAAAAAACTAACCGATACAAAAGGTAGAAAGATACATCTACATACAGTAAAAGTTCCTTACTCACGATTTTCTTATTCGCGTTTTTATTATTCGCGGACGAAAAAATTGCAACCCAGTTCCTGTATTCGCGGTTAAAAATTTCATTATTCGCGGTTGCAATCGGCAAACAGAAAAGGATTCAGTGTCATTTATTAAGGGAATTGACCGCAATAGACCGCTCGTACCTAATGTGAATTCTAAATATTGTGATTTAACGCTGCGAGATAAATATCTAATTTTTTGTATGGTAACAGATAAAGGTTCACACTAATTCGGTACGTTTTTGGTTTCCAATAAAATTGTCATTAAAAGCTTTTACAAGTGCTTAAAGTTGATGCTTCTTGTAGGACACGTATTTTCAATAGAAATTAAAAAATTAAAAAATGACCTTCGACAAGCTTTAGAACAAAGCTTTATCTATATTACTACAAAATTTCAAACCTCTGTTCCAAATATTAAACTCATGATATCTAGAACCGATAAACATGTTTTTACTCTACGGCGCGTGTACTACTGAATCCCCTTAATGTATCGGCATCTTTTGAGTATGTACAGTTGGTACGTGTCGAAGCGGCTTTTATAAAAAATCTAACCGAGTATAAAAGGGTTCGGTGTTATTTTTCAACGTATCAGCATTTTTTGAGTACTATTGGCTCGTGCCGAAGGATGTAACCGAGTAGACTAATTTCAAAATTTAAAACAAGAAAAATCACTAAAATTTCTAAACTCTTGTCTAAAGCCGATTTTAATTGCGAATTTATCAATACATTGACTTTATATATTGCTTTTATTTTGGAACCTTAGAACGTATAATAAAGAGCTTTTACTGTATACGTTCACGTTTCGGACAGTGCAGTAGCCACTCATACTCTTTCAAAGCACAAATTCGAAGTTCAGTTTAATCGTGTTATTAGGTGCTTACGAAGGATTCTGTAACGGTAAGTGTTGATGCTGTTGTCTACTACAGAGTCGAAGACACCATGAAGGCAATTCTTAATGTTGAAAGTTACGTGTAAGTATAGAAGAACGCGATATTTTTGGTATCATCTTTTAACAATTTCGAATACTTTGAGTAATTCGACGAAGCTCTTGGCCATGACAATACTTCGAAATGTTCTTGGCATGAGAAGCCTTTCCGAAATTTTAACAGAACGCGACACTTTAGCGTTGAGTATGCAAACAATTTTGGACGAGGGTACGCAACCATGGGGCGTTAAGGTGGAGAGGGTAGAAATGTAGGTGAAAAGACGTATTCAGATTGGTATGACATTACTCTATATTCTTCTTTTCGTTAGAAAAGAAGTGAGAATTCCCACCCAGCTTCAAAGGGTAATGGCGGCTGAAGCCGAAGCTTCTAGAGAAGCCCGAGCTAAGGTAATAGCAGCAGAGGGCGAGTTGAAAGCTTCCAGAGCTTTGAAGGAGGCAGCAGATGTTATCAATTCTAGTCCGGGTGCATTGCAGGTATTAAACAGGCGTTTAATTGAAAACCTGCTGCTATTTTACTTAAAAAAACGTTTTAGCTAAGATTCTTACAAACACTTAAAGATATTTCGGCAGAGAAGAACTCAACAATAATTTTTCCACTACCAGTTGAACTGATTACCCCCTTGATGCGTCGTTAGAAAAATATAAAAAGACAATATTTACGTTTAATGTTAATGTAATTTTATAATACAAAGAATAAGCCCAGTAAGAATTAAGATTACTATTTCGTTAAAGGAAATAAAAAGTGAACAAAGAGCATGTTTTTAATTTATAATTTATTACAAAATCAATTATTGTACACTCCTTTTTGAAATCTCAGTGCAAAAGTGTTCGTGGGCACGGGACGTCGATATTTCGTTTTTATAAAATTCCCCGCTTCCTCACAGTACGGTGGTAATTTTGCCAGAACTTTTTGGCTTTTGTTCGAAATCTGTATTTTCGTTGGTTCGATGATTATGGGTGCATTTTTGGTCATACTTAAGTTTGATAATTTTGATTGCCTGTAAGTATCGACGTTCTCCTTAACGGGTTTTTTGGCAGCTTGATTTCGCACTGTGGTCATAGCTCTATTGCAAATGTAACATCTGCTGTAGCCATACGGATCGGCGTTGATATAGTGTGGTTCAGATTTCTCATCGAAATTTATTAAATGAACACAATCGTGCTTGGGCATGTTTGTTATAAAGTCATTAACGGAATGTGTTTCGAAGAAGCAGTCGTTTCTAAATATTTGCAAGTCCTTCACGTTTTGATATCCGTGTGGGCAACTGCAACAGTAACGCGACCATTCGTCAATATCGTCTTCGCACTGTGGTTGTTTCTTTAAACGTTGCTGATCGCGAATTTCTGGACTAAGCGGCAGCGAGCTGAAGCCAAAGTTTTCGCATTTATTTGTAACCGGATTCTTCTTTTCAGACTTTGGAGGTTTCGGTTTTTTAACCGTCGCTTGCGGTTTGGAAATTTGTTTTGGTTTCTCCTTTTCTACGGGAGACTCGGGTTTAGTTTTATCTTTCCGCGATTTTGGTTTTTCTTTTTGTAGTTTTAGCTTATCTTCCTTCGGTTTTGCCTTTTCTTCCTTCGGTTTTGGCTTATCTTCCTGCTGTTTTGGTTCTTCAATTCTATCGCAATCGGCAGGTTTTGGTTCTTCCATTCTACAGATATCCGCAGGTTTTGGTTCTTCCATTCTACAGATATCCGCAGGTTTTGGTTCTTCCATTCTACAGATATCCGCAGGTTTTGGTTCTTCCATTCTACAGATATCCGCAGGTTTTGGTTCTTCCATTCTACAGATATCCGCAGGTTTTGGTTCTTCCATTCTACAGATATCCGCAGGTTTTGGTTCTTCAATTCTACAAAAATCCGCAGAAGTGCTTTTGTCTTTTTGACATTTGCAACATTTCGGACAGCACCGATTGTTGGTCTCGGTTGCAGCACACTTCCTTTCCACTTCTGCACATAAGGTTTGGATATTAGCATCATTCTTTTTCGAATCGGTATCACTGCCGTCATTTTGCTGCGGATATTTACACATACAGGGCTGCACAAGACTTTCGTCTTTGTTTCTCAAATCCACGTACTGTTCGTACGCCTGTCTAGCTCTGGTGTATTTGGAACAATCCCTTTGGGTATCCTCTGTTTCACGTAGAACTGCTTTACATGCTTCAGCTTTAAGTTTCCGCAAGAACAACGTTGAAGGTTCGTAATCTAACAGTTCCCTGGCTTTTTGTAACATGGTGGTGTTGTATAAAGAAATCTTTTCTNAAAACATAAACAGAAACATAATTGTCTTTATTTTTAACGAAAAAAAGCATGTAAAACTACCATTCAATTTGAGCATTTTGAAAAACACGGCTTAATGGACAACTCCTCCCCATCAATTCTTTTTAGATTCACCCCCTATAAAGCATACACTTAATAAGTTGAAAAAACAATGTGTTATAAAAATCAGTGCCGAAATTGAGACACAAAACACAGTATTATAGTAACATACACCTATGTTTCATCTTTATTGTTACATAAGGGTTTTTCAGGGTAGGTTGCATAATAATTACTTATTGCACGCAGATCTGTATTAATTTGCAATCGAAAATGAATATATAATCTTTAACAAAACCCCCCTTGTGGTGATTATCGATAAAATTCTAGATGTACACTATTCAAACACGTGTCGTTCGTCACCGAATATACAGGGTGTAGATAATAGTAGATATAGTTAGGTACATTTGAGGGTAAGTTTCTTTTATTATTTTTTTTTTGTCTTGCAGAGGAGCCAAACACAATGGGATGCGTGGAATTCGTAGCTACCGCAGGATCTCTGATCCTGTTGATTTTGACACTACCGTTCTCATTATTTTGGTGTTTTAAGGTAACGTAAACACAATGGTTTATTGTCCGGACGGGACGGTGCAATTACAGTTCGAAATTGCTTGTTTATTTAATGCCATTTTATTGAGCTAATAAAAGCTGATTGGGTTTTGCTTTGAGCCATTTCGAAAACTCAAACGATCCAGTAATTTTCGTCATACATATGCGCCTACTTTTACATAATAAATGCATACGTACATATATGTGCATATACAAAGGCCGAAAAATTTAAAATTAACCACCAATTCTGAACGAAATGCGTTCAGTTTTAGAAATCAAACCAAAATATTTGTTGTGAACATAATCGCGGAAAAGACGTAAGGCCAGGCACGTAGTCAAGAAGGGGTCCAATCGACCCTGACCTACTCCGAAGCTGAGAAAGTCAACGAACAAAAGCAAAAAATTAAAACTTAAAAAAAATATCAAATTTCTTTAAAGATCGAAGAACGCCAATAACTTCATAAGAATTGACTGTTTTATTTTGTATATATATGTTTCACTATTCTATCGATTTTCTTTCTGGTCAAACTTATTTTATGAGGGTGAGAATTTGCTCCACCAGGACAGATCGCATGCACTCAAATCTGTCTTGCGGGGGGCTCGCGTTTGATTTCCGGGCCGATGCATACCTTTGCCTGCCTAACGGCAGCGTACCTACATTAAAATTATTATTTTCAATTTTGAGAAATATTATATTTTAAGTTATGCTAAGGATTCTTTTTAATGATTTTCTTTGTGATTCGTTTTATTATTATAACCTAAAATAAAATTTTTCATTGCTGATATTTTTTCTGATTGCCGATTCATAATACACTTTTTTTTAAATGGAAAATGTTTTAAGCCCTTACTTACTTACTTACTCTACCATAATCCTTAAAATGTTTGTTCCATGTGTATATTATTTGTATCTAATTTTGAATAATTTAGTATATCAATAACGGAAACGCCATGTTCTTCTCACCGGACCGATTACGATTATAATAATCTGTGAATTATGTCAACATTTTGCTTGTCAAAATTACGAAATCGTTTAATGCAGCTTGCCCAAAACGAATTCTATTTATAAAATGAAAAAATCGCGACGGGTTTACATTGGAAATAAATTGTATTTTTGATCCAATGAAAGAATAGTCAATTTAATGTGTTTGTTTTCAGTTTTTATTAGGCCAACGAAACTGTTGACGAAGTTCAAGAAAACTAAATTGTTTTCTTTACAAAACTTTGCACAGGGTACTTAAGTTCATAAATACCGATTTTGAAACAATTACCAAATAAATTGGCACATACCTATAGGTAAAATTAATCTTCCACCCCATGGTAAAGGGTGTGTAGAGAGTTCTATTCTCATAGGTGACTACAAATACACGTAAAAAAAGATATTTTATTTTACTTTATACGTACATCGTCGCCCAAAACATACGTAATACGCTCATTGTGACCATACTACAAGCTTAACCAAGAAAATTTTCAAACAAAACTACACAATCTTCTGTAACAGCTAAATTTAACTTATTTACTATACAGGGTGTTCAAAAATTAAAAATAGTCCACATAAACACTGTTGATTAAGGGTGTAATCGAAATAATTGTTCAGAATGTCAAAATATATAATACGAAAAAAATTGCGACGATCTTTGATTATGTCTATATGCTGCAATCTTTCTGATTGGTACATTAAATAAAGGCTTAGGTTAGGTTAGGGGTCGCCATGTTTAGTACAGTACCTACCCTTCTGTTTGTTGGAGGGGTTCAATTAGCGGTTGGTATTTATTATAAACAATTGAAGCAGTTTCGCATGAACGAAATCGAGACTAAAACCTGGTTAAAAATATTTTTTTAGTAAAACTTATTACGCGCCTACTTAGAACGTCCACTTTTATTAAGGTCGACAGTATACATGCAGGAACATATTTATTTTGACATCGCCATATGTTTGCAGTTTCGACTTTCAAAGCGAATCTTGTCCGGATAGCAGATGTTTTTTTTGTTAACGCATTTTGCGCGGCAGTATATTTAGTGTTGGGATAATTTATTTATTTTTTTTTATTTTAGGTTGTCCAGGAGTACGAAAGAGCCGTAATATTTCGTTTAGGTCGTCTTCGGACGGGCGGGGCGCGGGGCCCTGGGATATTTTTCATTTTACCCTGCGTCGACAGCTATTGCAAAGTTGATCTTAGAACCGTTTCATTTGACGTACCCCCTCAGGAAGTAAGCCTTGTATTAATAAAAAAAATGTTGAAAAAAAAAGGGTAGGAAAAGCTTGGTAGTGATGGGACAGTGCGGAAACCTAAAAAAAATTATCAACTGTTGTGGTCGTGCGCTTTTTTTTTGTTTCCGCAAATTTCCTTGTCCCCACCCCTGAGGAGGCTATTCCTATCTCTCCCTTTTCCTAGATCTGCTAATCTTGCCGCTACGATGCCGCAGTAAACTAAACCCGAACCTGCGATTTTTCGCCTTGATAAAGGTAGGAAAAGCTTTGTAATGATGAAGAAAAGCGCGGAAAAATATCAACAAATATACGTCAAATTTATAGTCAAATAGTCTTCGTGCTTTCGCCTCATATTACATATGAATAGTTCTGGGACAGCCTGCATTAATTTTTAAGTTTTAGGCCCTAACAAAGGATTCTGTTACGGTAACAGTAGACGCAGTAGTATATTACAGAATACAAGACCCCTTAAATGCAGTTGTTAAAGTAACTAACTACAGGTACTAATATTTAATATTTTAGTGTATAAAATATGGTAATATATACACATTTATAAATAAAAGGGGCCATTTTTAGTAACTCCACTCGCTTGCTGGCTATGACAACGTTGAGGAACATTTTGGGAACGAGAAACCTTTCCGAAATTTTGTCCGATCGTGAAGCAATATCGCACGCGATGCAGACTTCACTGGACGTTGCTACAGATCCGTGGGGTGTTAAAGTGGAGAGGGTTGAAATGTACGTATACAACAATTATGCTCTTAAATAAGTAAGCAAACTAAATAAAATGACTATAATACAAATCAAAACCCGTCAAAGGGTTTTTATTCATTTTTTTGTTTTTAGAAAAGACGTTAGTTTGCCCCAGCAGCTTCAAAGAGCTATGGCGGCAGAGGCCGAAGCCACTAGGGAAGCTAGGGCCAAAGTAATAGCAGCCGAGGGTGAAATGAGAGCTTCCAGAGCCTTGAAAGAAGCGGCGGACGTCATTAACGAAAGCCCCGGAGCGTTACAGGTTATTTTTATTTATAATAAAATAATTGGAAGTGGCATACGTAATCCTAAAATGTAGCATCGTACTACAGATGGCGTTTACCGCGCCATTTGTGGTATTTTCTAAAACGTATTTAATGTTACATAAGATTTTTATCCGTTTTTAGCTAAGGTACCTACAAACCCTGAACAATATTTCAGCAGAAAAGAATTCTACCATAATTTTCCCGTTACCAATAGATTTAATGACGCCATTTTTAGCTGCTGGACGACAAATGGAAAGCAGAATGTCGCAAATAATTTAAACATAAGATTAATTTTTATTTAATAAACTTACGTCTTTCTATTCGGCTGAGTTTTATTTATTGGTAGTTTTTTTGTTGAAAATCTAACGTCAGTTTATGATATTAAAAAAACAAAAATACAATGTGTAATTATACAACACGCTACCGAAGTGAAACTTCTTCAAACACACAAATATAACGGGATAGGGGTTAAGGAATTGGTTTAATGGTATTATTTGTACACTATGCTTCGCACGGGTGCAAGGCTGATAGTAAATATACTGTAAAATGTCTTTATATACAACAATCACAGCTTTTTTTTGTCATTAGACAATACAAACCGGCCGGTACCGCCGCAACCGCTATGTCCTTGCATTTTAAGTCTGTAATATCTTCGAAAATATTCATTTAAATTACATGCTGTAAAGGGCCATATTGATCTATATTAAATGCACAATGTATTTAAAAGTACTTAATTGGATAA